GGGTACGTTTGGCCGTATCTTTCAGTTTAAGATCGGCCTCCAGTCCGGTGTCGGTCTTCTTGACACCTGCGGGCACTTTATAGCCGACTTGTTTTGGGTCCAAATAACATATGGGCACTCCCGGGGGCCGTCCTGTCGAATCCCATATACAGCCCCTTTCCTTACATAGATGTTCACCTTTCGTGTCAACTAAATAATTAAAAAGTATAATATACAGTACAAATAATTAATTTGTTTATTTTATTAAAGCTTATTTGTTAACAAAAGTAACTAGTAACTTTTTAAAATCATTATTGTAGTACAAGTTTTACTGTTAGTTCAATAATAAACATTGTAAAAAATAAAAACTTTACAGTTGGCAGCAATAGTTTTATAATAATACATACACTCCAAATAACAATCTAAACGATTGTTAAGATTTTCTGATGGCATGGATTTGAGGGTACGTTTGGCCGTATCTTTGAGGTGGAGATCGGCCTCCAGTCCGGTGTCGGTCTTCTTGACACCTGCGGGCACTTTATAGCCGACTTGTTTTGGGTCCAAATAACATATGGGCACTCCCGGGGGTCGTGGCGTTGAGTCCCATATACAGCCCCTTTCCTTACATAGATGTTCACCTTTCGTGTCAACTAAATAATTAAAAAGTATAAAATACAGTACAAATAATTAATTTGTTTATTTTATTAAAGATTATTTGTTAACAAAAGTAACTAGTAAATTTTTAAAATCATTATTATAGTACAAGTTTTACTGTTAGTTCAATAATAAACATTGTAAAAAATAAAAACTTTACAGTTGGCAGCAATAGTTTTATAATAATACATACACTCCAAATAACAATCTAAACGATTGTTAAGATTTTCGGCCAAACAACCGGCACAGGCCAGCAGTAATACCATTAGGACTTTCATTGTGTAATTTTACTTCACCTTTATAATTAATATTGTGTAAAAAAATTTACACTAAAATTAATTAAATTTTTGTTGCACAATTAATGAGCTATGCGCTTATACAATCATCATACAAGTATTATAGCTTATATACTCTCGAGTTTATCATACTTTAGTTACACAATACATGAACACAAAAATTCTCATAGAATGTATGTACAGGGTGATTTTAATAATTATATATTGATGCTTTAAAATTTTCCATTATAATCAATAACAATGATAATATAATTGTATTGCAACGTAAATCATCATAATATAAAATCCGTGATTTAAGTTGTAAATCATTGAAATATAAGTATCGTGAGTCCCTGAGCATACTTTTATAAAAAAAATAAGTGCTTAAATAATCTCATTAAGATATTTCTTTATAATTTTCAATGTTTTATATTTATTTAATACATTTAATTGAGATAGTTACAAATTAATTAATTTGTAGCACTTATTTACGTATAATATTCGGAAATTGTTGTAACTAATTAGGTTATGAAAATTTAAAAAATTAAATTAAACAAAATATAAATTGTAAATAAAATTATTTTGCTCATTTTATATTAATTTAACAGTTTATTTTAATTATATTGCACGTAAAATCAATGTCAATTGTCTTTTATTTCATATCGCATTGTTTAATAGTGGTATCAATCCACGTGATTACATTACGCTGATCTAGCTTATCACCCAGTGACAAATTAACTGTAATTTCTATGGCACCATTATCACCACGTTTAGTCGGCACAATTTTGCCGTCTAGTTTAGCCTCTACACCATGGTCCTTAACACCTGTACTTTGGACAAGCACCTGGCGCACAGTGGGGTGTATGCCACTGGTATAACCGGCCTTAGACACATGGATCTCCATGGTGCAATTGGCGTATTGAGTGAATGAGTAGAGATTGTATTTGCCGGCGTCTATGGTGTCGATGCCCTCCCTGTCGTCCCAAAACAATTCACCCCTGGCTTCCCATTTGACATTAGGCACCACAACGAGGTCTATTTGATTCATAGCCGGACCCGTAGTACTGGTCAGTTGGGTGTCTGTAACCATCGGTATAATAGCGCCACTCCTGAAATGGACGGGTGGCGGACCGTTGGGTTGAGTGTCTTGAATAGTGATGTGTCCGACTTGTGGCGCGAGTTTTAATTGGGGCCGCACTTCGTGCCAACGCTCGCCGGGGGGTAGATATGCGGCCACGTGTTGCTGGTTCTGAGGATTGGATAATCGGGTTGTTTAATGAGTGGAGAGAGAGAGAGAGAGAGAGAGAGAGAGAGAGAGAGAGACCTTACCTCAAACAGAAAAGGTGATATGAGTATATCCCGGCCCCACATAAACTGACTGTCAATGCTATGCGTGTTTACATCCTGTGGCCATTCGTGAAACAGGGGTCGGGCGACGGTATTGCCATAAACATAGCTCCGGTAGAATAGTGTATACAAATAGTGCAACAATTGGTACCTGAGCTGCAGTGAACTGCGGGCCGCTTCAGTCACCTCCGGGTGTCCTTTGCTCACCCATACGGCCGGGTCCTGATCTGGACGGCCCTTCTCGTTATGATTTCGTGAAAACGGGTAGAAAGCGCCCAATTGTGACCACCGGCGGCACAATTGCGGATTTGTCTCCCCTATAAAGCCACAAATGTCGGATCCAACCTGTAAATAAGATTCACCTAATTATAATGTGACATTAATGTGTGTGCTATCTTTTAGCACAGGTATGTTTGCACTTACAAAACTAATGCCAAACATGTTGAACTCAAGCATACCGACCACCGAGTGGTGCATCATTTTCCAATAAGATTTATTATCGCCCAACCAGTGGGTGCCGTATCGGCCCGATGTGGGGTATGTACTCCGGGACACTACAAACCCACGTTTACCAGTGGTAGCGTGTAATGCCCTATGAGGTAAATAAATAAGGATTTACATTTGTTGAAATTATTAAAGATTTAGGATTAAAATGATTTTGGGTATTGTATACGTACTTTTGTGTAGCAATTATCCCGCCTACACCATAAAGCGAGTGAACGTCATAATGACTGTACTCTTCATTATCTCCCTGAGTGGTGGTCATGCAAATAGTCTGTTGGGACAGTTGTTTGCCGGTTCCGCCCCATAGTGTCGCTATTAATTATTAATTATTTTATTAATTGTTATATTGTTTATGTGTGGTAATTACATACATGTTCTAATCGGTGGGAAATCGTATTTATTATTAGTACAGGTGGAATTAAAGTTTGAAGGCTCGTTCATGTCCTACGGAAACAAATAATTGCAATCAAATTTGTTACAATGGTTGGAGTGGTAGGACCCTGTGGTTTAGTACATACAATCCAAAGTGCATCAAAGGGCAAAACATCATGCAAATTTTTCACTTGATTGTGCCACCACTGGTCGGTCTTGGACTTGAAAAAGTCGGGAAAGGCCGCGGGTCCGTACGGCCACACTTTGCCGTAAATGGTGTCCTTATCGATGGGCACGTTGGGAGGGTTGTGTCGGTCCTTCACCGGCACCTCTTTGGACCATTTGATAAACACGTCCTGTTTGTAGCCCTCGTTGAACGACTGGTAGGCGGTGTTGTTGGCCTCGATGGCCGCGTCTAGCATTAGGGTCCAGTGAAGATTGTTTTTGGCGATGGTATCTTTGAACAGCTCCGGGAGGCCGGCGAACGCATGTTTATCATACGTAAAATCTTCGTAGTTTTCCATGTAGTCAATATCGAGATACATTACATCCTATGGTTTGTAATTAAAACATAATTAAAATATTATATAAAACATTGTAACTGTTTTTAGCATTAATACTAACCAATGGTATTTTTTCTTTAATATTACGGTCAATCGTCTCGCGAACATTCTGTGTGCCAGTGAACCCGTATCGGCACAATTGATAGCCCAGACCCCAGAAGGGAGGCATTGTTGACCGACCGATCACTGATGTGTACAACTGTATCACATGCTCGGGGTTATCGCCTACAAATACAAAAAAGTCCAAAACACCCCCGGTGCTTTTCAACGACAGGGCCGGTTGTGGCAATAGTGTATAATCTGTTTGTTGTAGTGTATAGGGAAGAAGCAAGCATGGTGATATAATTTTTTGACATAAATGTGCTAGAGTATGGTATAAAATAAGTCAACACAAACCCATAGCGTTACTGTTGAGAAACAGTATTCCGTGCGCTTTGCCGTCCGATTCCAGTACAGTATAGAACGGGTGAACGCCGTAATGATTATGCATTTCCTATTGAGTAAACAATTGTGTTTTTAGTTATAGGTAGAGACGAGATTTTTCCGGATTAAAGACTTTCAAATTCGGGAATAAAAAAGCCAAAATCGGGAAAATTCGGGAAAATAAAAGTGGTATATTTTTACTTTAATTTAATTTAATTTAATTTATTTACTTTATAATAACCCCTAAGACTAAATAGATGTTATTCCCGAGCATTTTCTTAACTAATTTCAACCCGAAGAATCTCGTCTTTAACTATAGGTTAATTAAAAATTTAAACTAAAATAATGATTGTTTTAAACAACATGATGTAATTCTTACTTCGCTGAGTGGTACGTCACGAGCGAATAGCGGCCAAGTCTTGTAACTCAGGTCGTGTCGTAGGCTTTGGTGCACATTCTCGCCGAAGCCGTAGACGTTATTTGTGGCCAAATTAGTGGCCAATTGTAGGAATTGATCGGCAAATACTAAACCACCGATCGATGTGTCAAAACTGGTAGAGAAAAAGAAAGAGAGAGAGAGAGTGAGTGAGTGAGTGAGAGAGAGAGAGAGAGAGAGAGAGAGAATTATATAATATTTTTAATTTATTTTAATGACAAATATAACTCACATTTTAGTTTTGGTGTCTTTGCGAGTGATAGTGAACTGAAAGTCGTTGAGATCAGTGCCGACGTCGACGGCATACCTGCGCTTTTGCTCGTCTCTCTCAGTCCTGTCCATCAGATTAAACACGTGTTGAACGGGAACTTCGTATCGCTTATATAACTTACATTTTAGTTTTGGTGTCTTTGCGAGTGATAGTGAACTGAAAGTCGTTGAGATCAGTGCCGACGTCGACGGCATACCTGCGCTTTTGCTCGTCTCTCTCAGTCCTGTCCATCAGATTAAACACCTGTTGAACGGGAACTTCGTATCGCTTGACCGCCGGATCTCTTATTGTGAACCGAAGTATATTTTCGGTCATATATTTGACCGAAAACTTGATGCTCTCTATGGATGGCATGGATTTGAGGGTACGTTTGGCCGTATCTTTGAGGTGGAGATCGGCCTCCAGTCCGGTGTCGGTCTTCTTGACACCTGCGGGCACTTTATAGCCGACTTGTTTTGGGTCCAAATAACATATGGGCACTCCCGGGGGTCGTGGCGTCGAGTCCCATATACAGCCCCTGTCCTTACATTGTTGTTCATTCACTTGCATATCATCTAGAAAATTATTTAAATAAATCAAAATATATATTTTTCACTTTAATATGCTACAGT